ACTTCTCATAAGGGAAATTCTTAAAAACTTATATTATCACGGTCCTCTATTGGCATATTCATGCCTTTTCTTATTATACTATTTTGGCATTTAGAAATTGATGTTATTAGAACACGTGTCGTCCTCCCACAAAAATAGGTGGATATTCTTGACAGTCATTCGTAAGGTGATACTAGAAAGAATTGTTATCTGACCAATTGATTCCCAAGCTCTTGCTTATATTCTTTTTGTATGGCAGATACATCTTTTAGGAGGGCTATTGATGGGAGTAGCATGCACTCTTCTGTTGGTTGAAAAATCTCCTCCCCTTTATCACGCATACGTCGTGATGACAATGTTTTTGTGGACACAAATATTTAGTGAATATCAATTTCTCAAGGCATTTTGCAGATACTTGTGCGGGAGAGTTAATGATTACTATCTTAAACTCATTGCAACTGGTGTTTTTGCCGTGATCATTCTTGAGCTTCTGGTGAGGCTCTATTCCTAGTCTATATATGTTCCTTTATACAGCAGTGGATTTGTTCTTGACCATCTGGATTCTTTAATCATTGTGTGTGGTTACCTTACAGGTGAAGAGCTTCACAGATAGAAAGTTCTATACTTGGTGTTTCTTAACTACAGGGATTTCTGTTCCTTTTTATCTGTATAGATCATTACCTATGAGATCTAGAGTACCATTCTTTGTATGGCTGGCATGTTGGTTTTTGTCGGTTTTTACTCTCATGCCCCCTCAAATTCCAGAAAATACCCTGCTTGTGTAAGTAACTTCATACTGAATATCTTAACTTGCAGATCCACTTGTAGTAGGTCGATTGAATTTGATGTGCTGAACTTCTGTATGTAGGGTTGCTGGGGCGGTGATAATTATCACAATTGGCATAGTTCTTCGATATGTGGAATCGCATGCTAAAGATAACAGATACTGGGTTAGTCTTGTTGCACAAGACTCGAAGAAACTCAAGTTCCCCTTGCTCTTTCACTTTCAGGTAAGCAATGTCGTTTATGAGCAATCTTGTCTAAATTATCTTAAGCTTTTACTGAGAGATTTTGGAATTTTTTTTTCTTCGTTGGGAGTAGATCCTTTTGGTTGGCTTGGCATCTCTGATGGTTTGGCTTTCAACTACTCATAGAACAGAGAAGCAGGAATTGTTAGTCCTCCACCAACTGGTGAATTGGTCCTTTGCTGGTATTCTTTTTTTCTTTTATCCGTATGCTAGTGTAGCTCAGTCTTAGAATTGTTCTCGGATATCCTATGAACACAATTAATGTAGCCCTTACACCAATTTATTCCTTCAATTGTTTGTTTTGTTAATGCGATGGGATGTTAAACAGTGAATTCAAAGTGGTGAGATTTTACATTTTCTTAATACTTGTTCTAATAAAATGTATGCTATCCAGACTTTGTTAAGTCTGCACAGATTACAAAGAGATTGTAGATCACTTGTGAGTCTGCACAGATTACAAAGAGATTGTAAGACTTCAATGACAACTTCCTTCCATGTGATTTTATGAATAATTACTAGGCTGTATCCTGTCATAAAGAAATAATATTTTTGGTAAACATCTACTAGTTTATGGTAATGTATCACCTTGTTGCATATCAGACTGTCCTTTGTTACTCTTGCATTCATTTTTCAGGCTCTTTTGGTTCATTTTAATGATAAACTTTATGAAGCTTTTCCTGTCTAATTTTGTTTCTGTATAACTATTCCTTTCACTATTTACTGTTCTTCAGCCTGAAATTTCACATATTTTGTTTTCTTTGTGAACATTTCAACAATCCTTTATTTATCATTTGACTTGTTTCTTTAGGCTTCTCGATGATACTCCCACTCTTTTCAGCTACTGGTCTCTTGTCCAGGCTGACTTCCATTTTCCTTGGCGTTGCACCTCCTTTCCTGCTTCTATCAATCGGGTACCTCCATCATTTTGTTGCTTAGGCTAGGAGTAGATTCAATTTTATAACATTATGAGTCAGAATTTGAAAGCTTTTGAATCTCTTGCAGCTATGAAGCAGTCTTCTATGGTGCTCTCAGTCTTGCACTTATAGCATGGATTCTGGCGGAAAATGCTTATCTCCATATAAGCAAGTTCAGATCATCAGCTCCAGTCAAATCCATGGAGGATGATAATAGGTGTCTGGAGTTATCTGATATGAGGATCCCATTAACCTTTGTAAGTTTTACGTTCTGTTTTTTCTTAATGGTGTTGTAGTTATGGAAAAAAGAAAGACATTGACATTGTTTTTAGCCTTGTTAATTTAATACTTTGGGGGTGTATGCATCTAGCTCTGTTGTCTTTGCATATATCCAAATAGTTATATTGAAGCGTCTTAAATTGCTGATGAAATTTCTTCTTTTTAGATGGTCTTTTTCAATATTGCATTCTTTGGAACTGGTAATTTTGCAAGTATTGCAAGTTTTGAGATCTCCTCTGTGTATCGGTTCATCACTATTTTCAGTGTAAGTGGAACTGAACATCCTTGTTTATGAATCCTTTATTCCTTATTTGCCTTTCATTTGCATATGGTGACATATGGGACTGTTCCTGTTTTTTGCAGCCTTTTCTGATGGCGGCGTTACTTATTTTCAAGTTGTTGATACCATTCATACTTGTCATGTAAGTACAACTTGCAAATTTTCCTTATTAACAGTTTGGATGGAAAACTACTGTAATCCAATGATTGTGGTGGAGATCTTGTCTTGGAGTTTCTAGGGCTTGGGGGTTGTTTTTCTCTCTCAAATTCGTCCAAATAAGATGTGAAATTTACCAACCCCTCTTACATATTTAAAATATTGGCTTCAAGTATTGCCTGTTGCAGCGCTCAACTTTCACCCGTTGAGATGCTCGTCGCAGCCTGGAGCAACTAGAAAATATTGTTGAAGCGTTGCAGCGCCCAAATTCGACCGCTACTACGGTGGCTGCTGTTTTCCACGAAAATATCCAAATTATTTCCAACTCCAAATTGTTCTCCACTTGCTTTAATCCATTCCTCCTCATTTCCAAACATCCATATTACTTTCCAAACACAACTTTTGAGTGTTGAACACTCTTGTGGCACCTTAATCGCGTTATTAGTTGTGTTAGCCATAACTAGAGAGTAGAAATCTACAGGGTATTACACCATCTTTCTATGTTGGGTGGTTGGCTTTCTTCTTGGTATTACCTTGCAGCCTTTACATGTAGAACTGTCATTTCTTCTAGTATGGATGAAGTTTATTTGGTCATGATTACTGCACTCTTATAAGTTATCAAGTGCATTCCCTGTTTTAAAATACGTGTTGGCTAATACTATATGGTAAGCTAATTCAAACTCTTAAGATAGTTGTCCTGTCCTATCTTCATTCTGGTGCCAATGGAAACCGTCTTTGAATCTACCTACATTTACATCATATGTTTGTTGGTCATTTGGGATCCATTGGATCAAGGTATCCTTATCTTCCCATAAGCTTTAGCATATCTTGTCTAGCCTTATTTGCAGAGCACAAGAACTAGCCGATCTTCACTGAGAACAAAGTGCATTATAGGAACCTATATTTATACATCAAGAAGTCTTTAGAATTTTTGGAGACCAAGAACAAGTAGAAATATTTTGGAATTCTTGGTCTTGATGAGATCAGTTGTGTACCATGGATGACTTTTATTTTCTGTTGGGCATTAACTGCAGATGTGCGTTTAGTGCAATCACTAAATTGGTGCAAGTTCCATTGTTGGGATGCTATTTTCTGGTGATCTTGTGCTCTGATGTAATGACAATCCATTTCTTCTTCCTGGTAAGACCGTCTTATTCCTCCTATGGTGCAATTCTCATATGTTTTTCTACCTATTTTCTATCCAATGTGTCTTGCTTGAAAAACGTAGGATTCCCAGTACCAATATGTTCTTCTCTGTCATAATCTTCAACAGCTTTGAATTTTTCTCTTTCATGCTTTTGACTGTTTTATCTCCAGGAACATGATTCTGGGGATTCATCATGGTTAGGATCCATCTTACTTGTTTTCTGATTGGTAATAGGTCCGAAATAAAGGAAGCTGGATGGAAATTGGCAACAGCATTAGCCATTTCGGAATTATGAGTGCTCAAGTTGTGTTTGTCCTTATGCTTTTTGCTGTTACAAATGTATTCACGAAAGACATCCAAGTTAGATCAGCTCAGCAGTTTTCTCGTAAAAAAATGTGATTCATTTGAAGCTTCATCCTTTTCGAGATCCCACATTTTTCTGGGTTGCAATTTTGCTAGAGTAGCAATTAGTTCTCACAAATTGTTGTATTGAGCGATGCTCCATGAAGTAAATCATTCTTTGGATGCCCCATATTTCAGGGTGGCAAAGCATATAGTTCTTGCCAAAACAGAGTGGATAGTTGTATCGAATCGAATGTATGATGATGATTGATGAGATTATTAATTCCAATTTTACTTGAAATGGTGTTGAGTTGCTTTGTTGGATGGATTAAAATTGGTTGCTTCTTGCTACTTTAAATTTCTACATGTGAGATCATTCCTAGAATTTCGGCAGCGAGTTCATGTAATTTTCAGAACTCATTGATCCGACTAATATAAATTTACGGAGCGTTTTCCCCTCTCCCCCTCCATTTGGTTGGCAGTGGACAAAATATATTCTCTCCATCTAGAAAAATGAGCAACTTCTATGGCTCATACAGAAAGAAGTTGAACATTTTTTTTTCTCAAATTATAAAAATAAATTCCCAGTCCAATGTCATTGTATCTTTTAAATTTCATTCAAGGATAATGATTAATGTCATATATTTCTTGATCAAATACTCTTTTCAAAATTATGGATCATCGTAGTTACTCCAAAAGTAAGTTTCATCGAATCACTTACAATCCAATTGGTAAAGGAAAAATAAGAACACAGATATGTTTACGAAGCCAAAAGTCACTCATCTGCTAATTTATGTATATTGGCTAAAAATAAAATAGTGGATTTAAGGCTATTTTGTGTAAATATCTAATTTGAGGCCCAATTTAAACCCGTTCCAAGTCGACTCATATTATCGCCCAAATCAACCCGTCCTTCAGATCTCTCTCTCCTCTGCAGAAAAATCTGAAGCTGATTCCTCCATTTTCTTCAACTAACGAAAGGTATACGCCCTATTATTTTTCTCCTTCCTTTTACTTTAACCCTATTTTCCCACTGTTTCCAGTTTGAAAAATCAGGAAATTTTTAGTTTCTTATCTCAATTCGTTTCAGTTTAGTCTCAAATTTGGTGGGTCATGCGATGTTTTCTGCATTTTGCTTCCCGTGGTTGTTTTTTGGGGGTTTATGTAGTTTTATTAAAGATCTATAAGGTTATCACTTATTTTATTTGCCTTTGAAATACCTTAATTATTGTTTTGATGGGCATTAATCTATATTGGTTTTAGGGCAACAAGTAATTTGTGATTTGATGGTAAAGATAAATACTCATTGTAATTTGTAAAATTTTCAGATTCCATACATTGAATCTAATGCTTGTTTCTAGGAAATTGAATGTTGATACTGAAAAATTACAAGTTCAGTGTCCATTAACTTTAAAGTTTGAATTTTGGAAATCTTTTCTCCTCTTTCACATGTGTGTGTATGCTTTTCCATCTCTAACTTTCTCTCGGATTGGAGGAGCAACAAATGGATGCTTTTCTTTCCATAGTTTAGTAATATTGTGATTCATTGCTAATGTTGTTTATTGATTTTTTTCTTTTTACCTTTTCTAGTTTTTCAATCGTGGTCTTTGAAGATGTTACAAAATGTTCAGCACCAACTTTTGCAATCGCCGGCACGGCTAGGCCTGCCAACTCCCAGTTCACCTTCTCTACAAAACACAGCTCCTCCTCCTAAGTTCTCCTCGCAAGTGTCTCAACCCAATCAACAGGCAAATATATTAACTACCACTACCACCTCATCAACGCTCCTTCCTCTTCTCCCACCTCTCTCTAGAGCTCAGTCTCTTCTCATTCAAATGGCATCTCTTGGTTCAAGGCTCTTTGAAGTCTCAACTAACCGGTCCCATTGGCTTAGTGCTTTTCGTGGCTCTTTCCCTTCATTTCTGCCTTCTACATCACCAATTCCACAAGATTCCAGCCCATCATCCTCAAAAGAAATCCTCTCAGTGTTTACTTCTCTTCAGACACAACTGTTTGAAGCAGTTGCTGAACTACAAGAAATACTTGATCTTCAAGATGAGAAGCAAAAAGTCACCCGTGAAATTAGGTCAAATGATTCTGCAATTCTTGCCTTTGCCAACAAACTCAAAGGAGCTGAGCGTGTTCTTGACAATCTTGTGGATGATTACGCTGACTATCGTCGTCCCAAACGGGCCAAGTTGGAAAACGATACCGAAGAATCTTCAGTAACATCTGTGGCGACTCAATTGAAACTATCTGACATTTTGTCATATGCTCATAGGATAAGTTACACTACTTTTGCACCACCTGAATTCGGTGGTGGACAGGCTCCTCTCCGGGGAGCTCTCCCACCGGCTCCACAGGATGAGCAATTGCGTGCATCTCAGTTATATATTTTTGCTGATCTTGATGTTGGTTTACCTAAAACAGATGAAGGCAAGGAGAATATTTTGGAGCCACTCATTGAACCTCCGGCAGAAAGTAACGCACTTGCCAATCTATCATCAATTCAGGGCCTCGTCCCTCCAAATATTGTAGTGCCATCTGGTTGGAAACCTGGTATGCCTGTTGAGTTGCCCACTGATCTCCCTCTTCCTCCACCTGGGTGGAAGCCTGGTGATCCAATTGCTCTTCCTCCAGTGGATTCTCGTCCACCTCAAAAGGTCGAGGAGGCACCTGCACGACCAGTACCTCCTCCAGGACTTTCAAGAATGCCCGAACCAATACAAGTTCGACATGTGCAGCTTGATATTGATGATGATAGTAGTGATTATAGTTCTGATGAGGCCAGCTCTGACAGTGAAGATTGATGTGGTGTTAGCTGTTTTGAGTTGCTAATAAAGGTTTAGCATCTGCAGCTTGATATTACGTCTCCTTGCACAAAGCAGTGGTTTCTCTTTTTGCCTCACTATTGGATAACTTCTCTTCCCTCAAACAAGAGGTACCCCTGCTCTCTTCTGTCTGCATAATTGGGGGGCATTTTAGTTTCAATTTCATGTTCTTTAGCTTTCTCTACCGTGTGTGTTGTTTAGTAATAGGTCTTATGTCAACAAACTCTTCCCTGCTAACTATGTGTCGTATTCGGCCCGACAGTGTTTGGAGAGTCAAGATCAAACTGTGAGCTTCTCTTTTTTCATGAAAAATGGTTCTTGTTTATACTAGTTAACCTGAAGAGTAAGATCATTATGATATTCCGAGTTTATAGTTGAAGACAAAACAAAAGTAATGCATCTCCAACACTGACTCTATCGGGAGTTGACAAGCACCCAAGGGTGTGGCCTAATATTCACTGAAGTGGGATCAAACCTATGAGGTCCCATGTTCAATTCTCATAGGAGTAAACAAACATTGAGTGATTTCTTCCTGTTTGTCCCTGGTGAGTTACTTTTTATTGGGTGCTGGTGGAATGTAACAAGTCACCGATGGAATAGTTGATTGTGCTAAGGTGGTACAGAAATCCGGAAAAATATCTATCGACTTTAGCAGATAGTGAACTTGAAATTCAATTGGACCAGTAGGGATTTCTTTTTGTGATGCCTTTATTTTGATGTTTTAATTTAGGCTTAGGGAGCCCGGAGCCAAGTTTCCCTGCTTCACTTTTGGTTCGCTGCTCTTGGTGGCAATGGTTTCCAACAAGTCATATCAAAATGTCAAACATGGAATTCGTGTTTATACAGTCTCAAACTAATTTTCAGTCCGTAGATAATCAATCTAATGGCGCATTTGCTGATTCTGTTTCTCTTGTATATTTACAAGCCATATGGTACATTTCTGCCGTGCATAGAATGAGAATCCTTGTTTTGAGAAACCTGAATCAGTTTGGAAACTCTGGAATCAGAGCTGAGTGATTCCAGAGTGGAGATGAGTTTACAGCTAGAAGAAATTGGAATTTATGTTCAGTTAGACTAAGCCATCAATTTTGAAGTGGGGATGCTAAGGCTTACAGTCCCTGATCCTCCATGTAAATTTATTCCCTTCTAAAATTTATTAAAAGAAATAAAAGATGTGACAGACAATAAATGGATTCTATCATTAGGCCTGTACTCAATTCTTTTTACCAATTAAGATAGCAATATGTCACATGTACTTGAATAATAATTTTGGAACTACAAAAATCAAAACTCTCAAAAGAAATAAAATTGACCTCTTGCTATATGGTATCTCTGCTGCTACATGCAATCTGCTTGCACCTGTGGGAAAAGCAAGCCATAGTTTTTCACTCTCCTTTACCTAAGTTAGAAAAATCCCTGCTACAAGATATACTATAATGTACTTGTATAATGGCTTTTGGTGTGGTTAAAAAAAGGACTCAAACAGAAAGGAATCTGAACTTATTTAAGAAAAGGAAAATATTTTGAATTAAGACAATGAAACAAACAAGAGGTGTCAGAGGCTGATTTACAAGTATTCCATTCGGATGAATTCAATAGCTTTTATTCCAATCATATATATGTATTGAAAATTACTATGTAGATTTATATGTAACTATGAATTTAATTATTATTATTATATATTATTTAAATTGCATTAAAAATCATAAATTTTAAATTTTGAATTCGACTATTACGTTATATAGCTGTCAATAAGAGAAAACCGTGCATGAGCTGTGAGATAACTGTCACCGCGGAAATGGACGTTTCATTCTCTCATGGCAATGGGACCAGCCTCTTCATTTCCCTATCGTCCTATCCCCAACACTCTTGTCTGTTATCCCTTTGACGTTATTTTCTCCGTTTTAATTTATGTGATATTTTTTTTAATTAATTTTTTTTAAATGATATATTTTTATATTTAACAATAATCTAATTTTAAACCTTTTATTTTACCTTCAAATGAGGCTACTAAATCCGCCCTCACATAAATTGAATGGAGAAGTTTTTTTTTTTAAAAAACCTTACATTTTTTGAAACTACATATGTATAGGCAAAAAGAATTGGTAAAATTACAATTTCTAATGGTTAGAAGTATTGAAAAGAAGCTGTGTTTTTCTCCATGTAATAGTATTATTATTTTTTTCCATTTCCTCTCCTTTTTGTCCTTAATTTCAAACAAGTGCCACATTAGTAGATTAAGATTAATAGCAATTAAGAAAAAAGAAGAAATAAGGTTCAATAATAGGTCATTTAAATAAGCTATGAATAAGTTGAAGCTTATGAGCGGAATTAATCTGTAATAATAATAATAAAGTAGCACATTCTTTTTAGGCAGTGCCTACTAGCAAGAGCCACTAATTCGGTGATATGAATTGCTTTTAATGAATCCTACCCCGCAATCATTAATTTAAACCACAATAATAGGGGTCCTAACTTTAAATTGGGAGGACAAAACAAAATTACGATTTTTCAAAAAATTCCCCAATTAAGATAGAGGTGACTCTATAAGACTTATTAAAGGAGAAAACATTTTTTATTTAAATAGACTTATTCTTAGTGTTAGAATCAAGAAAACCTAATTAACGTGAAAGATTATATCCATCACACCACTATTATAAGTGAGTGACATGTTTTTGCTGAAAAATTATATTATTTAAAATAGACGAAAAAAAAATATTTTTTATATTATCAATGATATATATGTTGGAATGATTAAGAAGGTTGAATAATTAAAGCAGAGAAAATAATAGAAGCAGCATGTGATTAAGGGCGACACATACGGCGCAGACTCCGTCCTTAATTTCTCCTATGTATACTCTGTCCCGTATTTGCTTTGCTTTAATAAAAGAATGAATTAATTTGATGTTCTTTTCAACAAAATTCTGAAATATAGTACAACTCGAAAGTCACAAATCACATGTTTACCAACTTTAATTAGAGCTTAACCCTTTGGATTACATCCTGCTAATGACACGTATCCCTACCCCTCACATTAAACCCTCAGATGGTTGGATCTCGTTTGCTCTCATCCTATTTATTTTTTATTTCGTTTTTTGATGTTCAGCACTCGCATTAGAGCTAACTCTTTCAAATTCACGCTGAATAGGGCTCCATTATGGAGTATCACTTTCTACCATAAATTTTTCTATATCCAAGATTCAAACTTAAGATATCTACTTAAGAAAGACACAACTCCTTCCACTGCACTACACTTTAAAAATTTACTACTATGATATACTTTACTTTATAGTAGGGATAAGATGTTAATGGGTAATCTTGTGGTAGAATTATTAAGAATTTTTTAATTGCTTTATTGTATTAGTTGGTCCTTGATAATTGCCATGTCATCCAGTCCAAAAAAAAACTAAACCCAAAATGCAGTAAGAGCACCGACGGGTCAATTCAGAGTACCGGGTTTTTACATGTGGACCCATCCCGTGATTGGTGGTTCGTGCAACTCATAGGATTCTCTTGCTAAATTTCACATTTCATGTGACAATGTCTTCTCTTTCATTTTTTAAAGTATTTTTTTATTTCATATTTCTGTTTAATGATATGACATTTGAATATGCTTAAACCTCAACTTAAAATTACTTTACCAATTTCCTTTCCTTTATCTATATTCCTTTTTGCCTCATTCACATACAAGAATATCCTTTCATTTTATGTTATCATTTTCTTTCTTTCTCCTTATTTAGGAAACTTTATAGAAAACTTTGGAGCTTAATTTTATTTACCTCAATACTCATAGAAATATTATACTTAGTCCACTAGAGTGAGGTTTATTCTACTAACAACATTAAATATCTACGCCTGATGTCACGTCCAGTGGAAATAAAAATTACTAGGTGATTTTTTCTATTTATCCGTCAACGATCATAAATAAAATAAACAGTGTCTTTTCTTTTAATTTTCACTCATATTTTCAGAGCTCTAATATCATGTTTAATATCTGATAGTAATTATATTTTCAAAGCTCAAACTCAAGATAATATGAATTAGAATGAATGAATATTTACTGTGTGCGCTGTTTTTGAATATACCTAAAAGAAGAAAATATAATGAGTTGTAAACAGAAAAGCACTTGGACTTGTGGAAGAAAATGAGAGTAGAACATGTTTCATTAAATAAAATTAAAAAAAATAAAATCATTGAATGAAGAGAAGTGAGAAATATGAAGACCCCATTGAAGCCCTCCAGCTATTTCCCATCCCCACATCTTACCTATTTCCCTCTCCTTTTTGTAGCCATTTTTTTCTAAATCCAAACACTAAGACTGAGCTGAAAAATAGCTTAGCAAAAACACAGAGCAAATGGGTTTAACTCTTCTGCTTTTTCTTTTCTTCTCTGTCTTCTTAACTCCTTCTTTATCACAGTACCATTCGCCGCTAAATACTGCTTATTACCGGAGATCATGTCCAAGATTTGAACAAATTATGCAAGAAACCACTACAAACAAACAGATCACTTCACCTACTACCGCCGCCGCCACCCTCCGCCTCTTCTTCCACGACTGCTTCGTCGGTGGCTGCGACGCCTCCGTCCTCGTCTCCTCCACTCCTTTCAACAAAGCTGAACGTGACGCTGAAATCAACCTTTCACTCCCCGGCGATGGGTTCGATGTAGTCGTACGCGCCAAAACGGCGCTTGAACTTGCTTGCCCCGGAGTTGTCTCTTGCTCCGACATTCTCGCCGTCGCTACCCGGAATCTCGTTGTTCAAACCGGAGGCCCGTTTTATCCAGTTAATTTGGGCCGTAAAGATTCTTTTATTTCAAAAGCTTCGTTGGTTGAAGGAAATCTGCCCCGACCCACAATGACGATGGATCAAATCATTAACATTTTCGGGTCAAGAGGGTTTTCGGTACAGGAAATGGTAGCATTATCCGGTGCTCACACAATTGGGTTTTCACATTGTAAAGAGTTCAGCTCAAATCTTTACAATTACAACAAAACTTCGCAATATGATCCTTCTTACAACCCCAGATTTGCTCAAGCTTTGAGAAATGCTTGTAATAATTTCCAAAAAGATCCAACATTGTCAGTTTTTAACGATGTAATGAGTCCGAATAAGTTCGACAACAAGTATTACCAGAACTTACCTAAGGGTTTGGGTCTGTTGTCTTCGGACCGGGGTCTGTTTTCAGATCCGACGACAAGAGTTCATGTTGAAGAGTATATTAGAGATCAAGATGCATTCTTTAAGGCGTTTGCTTCAGCAATGCAGAAGCTAAGCGATCATGGTGTTAAAATTGGGAGAAGAGGTGAGATCAGGCACAGATGTGATGCTTTCAACAATTAAACTACTTGAGGAGTGTTGATTATGTTACTGTACGTTCTAATTTTGTTGGATTTAATCACTTACAAGATGAAAGTAAAACTTATAATATGTATACACCATGTTTTTTACTACCATTTATTTAGATTAGAAAGCTCTTCTTTTGCTCTGCTTCAGTTCTGTTTTAGAACTACTACTACTACTACTTGTGATTAGTGTGTGTTGAGATGCATCTAAGAGGCTGTTTGTTCATCGAATTTGATTCAATAAGAAATGAAACCGTAAATAAAGTTTGCAACTTTTTCTTCCCTTTGCAGCTAGTTTGAAATATTTCCAGTTTCCTTTTGGAACTGGTGTTGAAAATGTTTCCTTTTTAGTTTAAAATGTTTGATTGCTGGATTGTTTTGTTGCTTTATGGTTTGAGAGCAAGTGTTGGAAAAGGTGGAATCGTGTTTTCCGGTCGATGTCTCCTTTATTAGAGTGATTACAGGGGAATTGCCAACTCAAGTTCACCTGGTATCATGCCACTAACTAAATGAGCAATAACTGAGATACATAACGCGTTTGGAATTGATTCTTGTAGAGGTGTCCAAATCAAATAAATTTTGGTGTTGATTCAATAATGACTTAAGAAAGATGCATTGCTTTTAACTGTTTTTCTTTTCGAATAGCAAAATAAAAATGGATGAGATGTTGAGTCTTTTTACGCGTGTTGAAGTTATGAATTTGATCAATCTCAACTCAAAACTCATGTTGAACTAAAACGCAACTCTGAATGGATTGGGTCACGACTCGTTTGATCTGTTCAAATTTGACTCTATTCGTCGTTCGTCTTCATTGGCAAGAACATTATGTATGCTACTTCAAAACAAATAGAAGAAGGTATTATATATTTAAATGTCCTGATTATGCTGACTATAAGATGAGCATAAATGAATGAGAAATTCAGAATTGCCATTTAATTGAGTTACGTTTCCGCCATCTCCGCCCTGTTGTCTGGGTTCTGCTCCCATCAATCATCATTAAAACTTTTGTAATGACACTGAAAATCAAGAAATACTTTGACTACGGCATCTTCATGAAATTACAATACTAAACATTGATTTTACTATATTACCCTAATTAATATAAGTCAAGTAAATTAAATAGTATGAAAAAATGAATAATACTTAATAATAAAGTAGAATAGGTATAAAATGATAAAGTATCTCCTGAATTTCTAAGTTGGACAAGTAAAAATGGAGTAACAAATTAGGATACATAACTAATTTATTTTCTTAGTCAGCATTAAGGAAATAAAAGAGAATGGAAGGGCTAAGCAGGGTTCAGAAGTTATACATTAACTTATCCCAGTGTAGAAATGCTTGAGCAATTGTAACTATTGCTCAAGCACTAAAGTCCCAGTGTAAAAACTAAAAATGTTAGTGCAGAAATTGTGACCTTCCCAGTAGCACCACACATCAGAGTAAAGATTGTGCGAATGGTACACTCTCTTCGTTCTTGCTTTTACTGTTTGAGCACCAAGATGACAAACAATTACTCTGGAGATCATTACATCCTCTCTGCAGCAACGTCTATTGTAATGCAGACCTTAAAGAAACATGAGAATGACAATTCTCTCACAACCTCCGCAGTTGCATCAATCAATCAACTCAAACATAAATCCCAAATTACTAGACAGCGGCTGGTGTATGCCACGGACAGTTCATAGATAAACCTCAGGCACACAAGAAAGTGAGAATAGCATTGCTTGAAGAGTATTAGGAGACAATGAGTTCATGTTAAAGACAACCTCTTTTTTTCCAAAAACAAAAACACACTGTTCAGAATCTTTTCTTTACACTTCCAACATTATTTACCCAGTCAACTGTCACATGATCTCAGAAGACACGACGAGGAAAACCAAAATCAAAATCATGCTATCAGCAGCTATGCAAAGAGAACACCGCGCCTAATTACAAGCCATTTCTCAGAAAAAGGAATGAAATAGCATATAATGAAGAAACAGAAACAAACAAGAGCTATGAAGAACTTATCCGTGCTTGACTGATATCATCATCCGAATTAAGCAACTTCTCCCAATCAACTTCCTCCTCCTCTTCATCCTTCTGCCTCAAAACCTCCAATATCTTTCTAACTTTGTCTTTGGCCCTTTCACTTCCCATTTCCTCAATTTGTATCAACAGCTCCTCTGCAGCAGCCTCTTTTGCCAACCCTTTAAACCTAAGCCCACCATGACTAAGTCCATACAATGCAGCAAGACAATTCTCACGAGTCGACTCTGAATCAAACTCCCCCTTTCTCAACATACATACAAAACACTCCACTGCACCCCCATCAAGCATTGCTGCTCTCCCTTCAGAACTCGCTGCCAGGTTACAAAGTATCAACAGAATCCGACCCATCATATGACCCGTTTTAACCATGCCTAGTAAAGCCTGAACCGCCCCAAGTTTCACCAATTTAGCCCTGTTACTTTGAACTAAAGAAAGATGGTATAGAGCGAGAGCCGAATCATGCCTAGTTCGTTCCGATTCGGAGCGAAGGGCATGAAGAAGTGGAGGCAGAGCTCCTAATACCCCAATTGCAGTTTTATTCTGATCATCTAACGCTAAACTGAAAAGTGCACCAGCAACATGTTCCTGTGATTCTTGGAATCCACTTTTCAACACGTCAATCAAAGACGGAACAATTCCAGACCGTAAAATTTTCACCTTGTTTCGATTCTCTAACGACAAATTTACCAATGCCGCTACTGAATTTACTTGTACAGAAACATACCTTGAAGTGATGAGTACACGCAGAGCTGACAGTATACGAGGAGTGCATAACTGGAACCGGGTTTCTTCACGGGTTCGGGTCAATTTTCGAAACGAGATGACAGCTTCTTCTTGTTCAGATATTTGGGAACTCTTCAATTTCACAAGTAGTTCATCTTCTTCAATGGAATTCGGGTTTAGGGTTTCAACGTCAGAGGCCGACGACGAAGAGTAATAAGTGGGTCCACTTCTAGGGGTCACAGATTCCTCTGAACTCGTTGATATGTGACTCGGTACCCGGTTCAACTCAGTTTCCGACTGAATAACCCGGACGCCATTAAATCTTGCAGTATCTTTAGCGAGGTTTTGGGGGTTTCGGGTGGCCTTCAAAGTGAAAACGAGATTTTCAGCTGTGAGGAAATTGATGGGTTTTGGTGGGTCAAGAAAAGAAGAACGGCAAAAATTGAGGATTGTAGACTTGAGAGCCAAGTTAGGGATAACGGTGGAGAAATCGGGTATAGAGCCATCAGGGAGAACAGGGGTAAAAGAAAGTGATTTGCAGGCATGAACACAATGACGCTCAAAAGTATGGCCAGAAGAAACGATTACAGGGTCAGCCATGAGAGAACCAGAAATAGGACAGACAAATTCTATAGGAATAGGAGGTTGCTTTGATGGAGACTTGTGAAATGAAATTCTCCATCTTTGCTTGCTAGTACCCATTTCAATGAAAAAAAGTTTCAAGATTCAATCTTTGAGGCTCAAATATGAATGAAAACAAATGTTTGGGTTTATGGAAAAGGTTTCAAAATTCAATTTTGAGCAAGTTGAGGAGATGAAGCAAAAGTGTACAACTTCAGGGACAGTTGTTGAAAGCAAACATTATGACAGACTGAGATTTGGAGAGAGGAAGCTGATAGTGAAACAGAAATTGGGAGGATTCAGTACCTGAGAGCTCTGTATTCATATTTTTTTTTTCAACCATTTTTGTTTTAACTCAAATTGCTCCTATTAAGATTTAGGATTTGGAACATAGTGCAATTGAGTTTTTAAGCAGGATGATTATTGGAGGGTAAATACTACTTATCTTTAATAAAAAGGGTATAAAATAAGGGCTTGTTTTCAATATGAGACTTTTGAATGTTAAATTTAATCTGGCTGCGATATAAATATAATGACCTCAATTACTTAAATAGTGCCTTAAGTTTGAAGATAAGTTTCTTTTTTAGTTATTACTCCCTCTGTCCCTAATTACTTGTCCATTTTTTCTTTTATAGTTATCCCTAATTACTTGTTCATTTTGACAAATTAAGAAATGATAAAAAAAATTTACCTATTATACTCTCAATTAAATGACTAATTACTTTGAAAAATGCAGAATTTTTCATCCACTTCATAATTAATAGGGGTAAATTGATAAACTCACTATATCATTAATTGATTTCTTAATATATGTGTCAATTCAAAAGTGAACAAGTACTTAGGACAGAGGGAGTAAGTTAAAATAAAGTTAAACGCAAACTTAAAGGACTGTATAATGACCAGGGATTCATGATATAACATGGACTCTTTTAAGTTATAAATATAACATGGACTCTAACTTGTAATTTACACTTCAATTTTGAGAAACTAAAAAAAAAACAGTAATGAATAAGTAGCTTTTAAGAACTAATGTGATGGAGGAGAAGCAAATTAAACGTTGACAAAATATGAAGAAAAAAAAACTATGAACAAAAGTAACTTTTTGAACTTTTTTTATTTTATTTTAATCGTCACGAAAAATAAGTAATTCATATTAAGGATATAACATGAAAAAAATATTTTTCTTTAAATGCTAAAAGTAAAAAATAAAAATAAAAATTTATTTTTGAAATAATGAATGATTATAAGTGAAATTACTTCATCTGTCTCTAATTACTTGTCAATTTTTTCTTTTTTAATTGTCTTTAATTACTTGTCCATTTTAACAAATCAAGAAAGAACAATAATTTTTTATCTATTATACCTTCAATTAATTACTTTGAAAAAGATTGAACTTCTTGAAAATCTTAAATTTTTAATTCATGCACTTCATAACTAATAGGGATAAAATAGTAAACTCACTATGTTACTAATTGTTTTCTTAATAGATATTTCAATTTAAAAGTGAACAAGTAATTAGGGATAGAGGGAGTATTTGAAAAGTTCCCAAGAAGGAGTAATTAAGAGCAATTATTTTATGAGTGAGAGGTAATGCAATTGGTGCAAACTGCAAAGACATGAGAATGAAAGAGAGATATTGGTGTCTTTATGACTTTTTTTTTGGTTAATTCTTGATGATTAAAGATAGCACATGAAGTTGTTGCTTTCATAGAAAAAACAGCAATTAAACTTTATGATATTAAAAGTCTAAAAAGTGTTGGCAAAAAAAAGCAGTGATATGACACCCTTGCAAGTTGAGTGAAACCTCCAAGAAGAAACAACACTCGTGGTAGTCTCATCATTTTTCTTCTTTTTCTTTTTTATTATTAGCATTTACCAAATACTTCCTTAGTTTATTTTTAATTGTCATGTTGCGTTTTTTAAAAATTAATTTGATTAATTTTTAAAGTGAAATTAGATTACATTAAATTAATATTTTAAACAAAAAATTTAGATAATCAAGAAACTATATGAAAAGTAGTATAAATTGCAATATTTTGCATATCAATATGATGAAAAAATATATTGTAAAATGTTAGTCGAAGTATTTATCGTTTGACTCTAAAAAAAATATAAGAATTACAAGTAGACGAAGGTAGTAGTAATTATTTTTTAAAAAAAAATTAAGAAATAAAACTATTTGATTTAATTCGTTCTCAACAATTATGAAATAAGTAATCATTTTAGGAGGATTCTTTATCAAATGAATGTTTTTATTACATTTGTAGTCTTTGGAATATGAGAACCAATTATATAACATATACATAGAGAATTTAATAACTTTTTCACCAATATTATATATATTATTATTATGTATCAAAAAAACCTACCTCATGAAACAAACTTTCTTTTCTCCCAATTGTATCACTAGTCCTTTTGATTAATCTTCAAAATTAATTTTCTGAGTAAAGTCTCCATCAAGGAAAAAGCCTTCTTAAAGTCTCATTAATTATGTCATCCCACAATTATTAGCAATTAAAGTCCATAAATTCTGGATGGTCCTTAACCCTTTTGTCTTTAATTTGCTTCTAATATATTCACGTAGTAATGTCACAAAATAGTCCTCCCTAATTTTGAAAAGCAAAATGTTCAATCAGTTAACATAACAACCACTCAAATAGAGATATCCTTTTTGACTTTGTCGTGTATCATATTTACAAAATTCTTTACTAGTTACTCAATTAATCTATTCTACCACGACAAATGACAATTCATTTTCATAATAATTGTGGGACATTAACCTTTTTCAAACCACCAGTATCTGTATTATTCAATCGCCAATTAATTGGTTCCAACTGAAATATTGGTTGAAAATTGACACTTTATTGTGGGATTAGATTTTTGTGTTGGCTTCTCGAGAAAAGTATGACTATAAACTATATTAAGAAAATGAACCTTAAATTTATCTCCATTCGGTCACTTATTCATAAAATAGATTTTAATTTTTACTTGTCATTTTTGACATATTAAGAAAATACAATTTTTTTTCCATATTTTACCCTTAGTATTAAATACTTATTCTCCAAAATATTTTTCAAAATCTAATACTACACATCAATTAATAGGGATAATATGGTAAAATACTTATATCTATACTTCTTTTCTTAATGAATGTGTCAAGTTAAGTGACAAGTAAATATAAACGAATGGAGTATTTAACAAAATAAATCTAATAAAATAGTCGTACTAAACTATAAATACAGAACATTTTTAACATCCTTTGCATGCTCAAGAACTGAGATATATGAAGCATGAATAACCTAATACAATAAGATCTGATATTGCATAGACTAATAATAAAGATGAATTTAACTCTGATTTCATATTAAAAAAATAAAATTGTGAAATTAATATCAGTATAAAAAATCAATTCATGGCGTGATATAATTATCAAGAAGCATGTAAAGAGACAAAATTTCATTCCCTCAGCTTGCAAAATTTTGTTAAAAATTACATTATTCCTTGAAAATCTATTTGCTTAATTAATACTCATGCAATAAAGATTTGTTATACTATAGAGCTAGTAATAAGTACATCTATAAAACTTTAAGCACGTTGCTTGTACTTGATAATTTATTAGCCTTAACTGGCTCGCATTTGCTTCATGAAATATATAATAATTACTTGCCTACCAATTTATTTTGATTAAAGGTAATAATAACTAATTTAGGCTCGACATCTGGAACAAAATATTTATTAGTAATATTAATCTGATCTACCATATCCGAATATCATAATATTTGACGATTAATAGTATTTCTTTTTTATTATGGGTGTTGTGGTCCTTAACACCAAGCTAAAAATTAAAGTAGATATAGATATAACATTATAAATAATATACGAGAGAGCATTTATGCTTTAGAAGAAACTTTATAAAAGCAAAGGAATTTCCACTTTACAAATGGGCAAGGGACTTTATTTATTTATTGGTATGGAAGAGCTATAATTGACTTTACGACCAAGAAGGATGTGAATTTTGTCAAGTCAAATGTTACCCTCTTTTTTTTTTGCGCTCTTCCATTGAATTGTTTTTTTTTTTATTGTTGATAAATTAATGACATAAATTTGACCAATGATGTTTCATAGTCACTCCACTTCTCTATTGCTATTATGGTTGATAAATCCCATGAATTTTTTCCAATGATGTCTCATGCATGATTGCATGTGCATCCTGATTCCTGTCTCTTGATTTATTAATTAGAAGTGAAGAACACAATAATTAGAGCATGTGTTAAAATACATTAGTATGAAAATTTTGCACTATTAGCCTACAAGTGTATGACAAACCTTGGAATTGGTGAATTCAGCAAGAAAGTTGGACTTCGAAATTACTGTATGCATTGATTGATAATGCAAAACCTTTTGCCAACAAATTATTGTGTTTATATGACGAAAGTTATTTTTTGTGAAAAATATTTTTGGTAGTATTTGATTGGTTAATGTGATTCACCTCCTACGACTCCTCGTTCAATTCTTTTAGAATTCATCCACATAAATTCATAGTAGTAAAAATCAACAGTAATGTGTTAGTGTAAGGAATATGCAATAAAAAGTTAAAAGATAACAGTAAAGAAAGTAAAGTAGGTTATTTTTCTTTCTCATTTTCATAGAAAATATCTTGTTTGATTAATAATTTCTACCTTATTAAACGGGGTAGTAACTTTATCATATAAAACATGAATATTGTCATAGCCGAAGACGAAAAGTTTGTGCCATTATTGGGCCTTGAATGGATACAGTTGGGTTCCATGTTTTCTTTCTTGTGCAAGTTCAGGTCCAGAAGGCTTTCAGCCCGAAGTTGAGGCTTGGGGCCCCCCCAGAGTATGCAGCAAGCCATGAACTTTCTGGATCGTACTGGGTCACTCACATTGATCCGATTGATGACGAAAGCGCGTATGCCACGTCTTCCTTAGGAGCGCCGACCTGTAAATTGTTCTGGCTTATTGCCCAAGCCAAGCATCCTAAAATCCTATTAACTCTTATATATAGCCATGAAAGCTCCATTCCAGGCAACTACAAGAACAAAAACACACGAAAGAAGAAAAATGGAAGGAGGAACAGAAGCTTATCCAGATTTAGGAAGACATTGCCAACTATCTGATTGTCATCAACTCGATTTTCTCCCTTTTACCTGCCATGCCTGTCAAAAGGTTTGCCACTTTTACCCTTCCACCTTCACTTTACGATTTTGCTTTACTCAATACAAAATTTGTCATTAGAGCTTCAACATACACCACTGTATGAAATATTCAAAGAAAAAGTTGTTTTGATAATATTATTGTGATTCAAACATCCTCTGTGCAGGTATTTTGTGTGGAACATAGATCATGCAAGTCTCATGAATGCCCAAAATCCGACTTTAACAGCCGAATGGTTTTGGTTTGCGAAATTTGTTCTATGTCCATTGAAACTACCGGCTGTCAGGTTGAAGACCATAAAGCAATATTACGAAAACACGAGGAATCTGGGGATTGTGACCCTAAGAAGAAGAAGAAACCTACCTGCCCTGTCAAGAGATGCAAGGGGATTTTGACCTTCTCCAACACTAGCACTTGCAAGACTTGCCGGATTCAAGTTTGCCTCAGACACAGGTTTCCTGCTGATCACCCCTGTAACCGCACTTCTTCATCATCACAGCCGTTGGTTAAGGAAGCCAATAACAAGTTTTTGACTGCTTTGCTTGCAAGGAATGGCAAAGATTGTGGGAATAGAAGTCGTGCCTCATCTTCAACCCCTGCTAACCCTTCTGTTAAAGCTTGTTGATCGTTTCAGAGCACATTACTGTTCATTTGTCTTTTGTAATTACATTATTTATGTACGAAAACAATGTTGTTATATTTTCAATTAGTATGGATGGCACTCCCTCCCTTTCAATTAGTATGATAAAACACTGAGTTTAAGAACGACATACCACTTCGGAATCATATCAATGTACACTTAATTCAGTAATCTTCTCTATAGGAATAACTACTCCAAACCGCTTCTCATGTTGAACAGTTCTTCTCTAAAATAAATTCACAAAAATATCAGCCTCGCCCCAAAAACGAAAGAGATAATTTCACTGTTATATACCGTCTTTTATACAACAAACATTTAAACGAAAGAGATAATTTCACTGTTATATACTGTCTTTTATACAACAAACATTCTTCCAATACTCGAGCATTTTACCGCTACCCTTTATATACATTTCCCAAGAACAGCCAGTTTGATAACTTCAGCTTAAAAACAATAGAGGAGCATTGCATTGAACACATAAAACTACCATATTACACAGGCCTTCTAGTTTGGGAAAGCATAGCCAGTAGAATCTTCTTCCTGGGTCCCTGCAAATCCCCAGAATGCAACAACAATTAGAGGCTAAAATAGGAAAAGTGTAGCAACTATCCAACAGTTCAGTATAATCGAGAAGCTTAGCCTTCTTCCCACCCCAACGAGATAATATCCCTTTATTTTCAGGGAAGTGAATAGGTGTCACCATGCATAGCAAAATTAACATATATGAACTTGCAGTAGAATTTGCGAAGCGTGATTTTCCAAATAAGGTGACTGAAACAACACGTACCATTGGTATCCCTAGTTCCTTCAGGTCACGGTCCCCCATTTGCTTCAGTGCAGCCATGTCTACCTGAAATGGGTAAAACAGGCATCACATCACTAAAAGAAAGGAGTTGAACTAGGATCTCTCAAGTTCTTGGCAAAGTATACTAAATCACTAAAACAAAAACATTAAGTGAGGCACGTGAACAAACAGATAAAAGAGATGGACTGATTATTCAGTCGAACCGTGTCACAAAGGACATGGATGGGGAAAATAGAGGATGATTGAGAATGTTATGGGCCAATGGTGCAACTTTCAATTTGTGAACAGCAGTGAGGCCACTATCCTTTACACAAGTAATAATCTCAGATTAGAAGTCCAAGATGAGCACATGGTTAGAAAGGGAGGACAACAGAAGGGTTGAAGGGCCTCAATGTGACAAATAATACCTCTCAGGAAGCATTATAAATAACAAAAGACATTTATATAAAGAATTTGAAAGGCCCGTAATGCATCTATTAACAAGTTCATTAGTTGGGAGGACAGACAAAGAGGTAGATCAAATGGACTAAATAGGAAATGTCATGGGATAAGTAACATGTGACCTAATAAATAATATGTGATACAGACAAACGAAGAAACTTTAAAGATTGATTTGGGTTCGAATACATAAATCTAACCAACTATTAGAAGATTTGTCACGTAACATAATCATCACATCAGGGGCGGAGCCAAAGGGGTGCGAGGGGAATCAATTGAACCCCCTTCGTTGAAAAACTACACTACGTAGATAGGGAAAATTTATTTTTGTGTATATATTTTAGTTGTTGAATCTCTTTGGCAAAAGAACTTTCTTTTGAATTCCTGGCTCCGTCATCGCATCACATAACAGAAGATACTTCTCTAAATAATGAGCAGCCTGCTAACTGTATATATGTGTGCAATAGGAATCAAATAAACCAGGAGAAAAGATTTAATGCAGAATATTAAGTACCATTTTAACTTGCTCCTCATAAAAAAATAATCCTTTTATTATGAAGACGAGAAGGTTGTCTATCCAACATGAAACAACGTAATGCCATGACCTTGTTACTCTTTGCAGTGAAATCTAGTTCAGCCTTGAAACTTTTTCAGCCACAGTACCAGTATTGATATTTAGAATGTTCATAATGCTGAGATAATGTAATAACAAAGAAATGATAAAAAAAACTAAAACACGTGATTCATCAATTAACAATAGTACTATTCACCTCCTCGGCTTGAAAGTGGATAGCGTACTTCCCCAAACCGAGCGAATTTAATAGACTGGCTACGGTCACAGGAGGTTGATCCTGTACAACACCAGATAGAACAATGTTTAAGATATTCATATAAATTCTGTCCATTTACAAATATTTCTTCCCTTCTCCTTCATACCAGCCATAAAGGGAAATGAGACAAAAATCCACAGTAGCTAAGAAAAGATGGTGTTATGAGAAAGACATTAATTGTGAGAACTAACAACTAATTTGGACTTTGTTGACAAGCAATGCAGAAATATTGACATATGAATAAACTAAGAAGTTTTCAATATAACTCACTGAAATTTCAATACCAGGAAAAGGAATGCAAAGAATGCTATGTTGCAGGAAGGAGAAATAGAAAAAATTGTTGGAAAATCACACAGATAATAGTAAAACAACACAGACAAAAGAAATTTCCAATAAGCATTAGCAACCAAGGCATTCTTGAACATGGTCAAACAATGCCATAGTAATTTAACTTCCATCAGCAATCCATTATTTTAAATATAAGCAGTGCTAAATTCCAGCATACAGAGAAAATATAGGCAACAATTTGGCTCGACAAAAAATAGCAGGAAGCATGTCAGGGTGGATTAGAGCCAGAAAAACGATCTCAAGTAAAAACTGATCTGCTAATTTATGTAACACTGTCTGTGTTGTTCCCCAGAAGGACAACTAAAGAGGTTACAGCTGAGCTCATGATCTTGAATATCACATAAAATTCCTACCTCAGTTATCCAGTTCAAGATAAGACTAGCATTCTACCAACAATGATTCAAGATAGAAAATCAGTAAGATAAATAATCAGTAGGTTCGTACAGGATATGGGCTTTGTAGCATGCTTCCATTTGCAGAGGGAAGACCTGTCAATGGATTCCTGGCAGCCAGTGGTGACCTCATGGTCACAGGGGTAAGGACTTTTAGCTGAGAAGAGTCGATGAGGTCATTTCCCGCCATATGAACCATTCTTGAAGCTTCAGCTGGCCTTACTGATGGTACATGCTGAGCTGCAGTGATATTCCTTGAAGAAGAGAGTTCTTTAGAATCGTTTGCAAGTCTATAAGGGGATCTTGGTCTAACACCACCAGCAGTTTGTGATGTATAGGAGGATCTAATTGCCTCTATCTGAAGCAATTCGCTAGCTCCTGACGACGGTTGGCTGCTGGTGACAAGCCTCCTGTGAGATTGTTCTGCAGATTGAACACTTCTTGTCATCCTCTTATGCTGCTCCCTTTTTCTTTCTTCAATCTGCAGAAGAATTTCCCTTTGCCTTCTTCTGTGCGTTAGTTTCAGTCGGAGGTCATTTTTCCCAATGCGTGCACCTTTACATTACAGTAACAGTACCAAACATGAGGTAATATGCTAGACCAAAGAACGACACAGGAAACTGGAATCATCCAAAAAATAAAACATGTAAATGACAAATATTTCAGATAATACCATTCTGTCTGCCATATCTGGAACCTCCTGCATCTTTATCCCCTCGCACACTTGCAAAATCAATAGCAAAACTTCCACTATCAAATAAAATCACAACTACCACTCTAACATTGATAGTTTTATCTATCCCTTCCATTATTCTGAAAACAATAAATTAGATACAGCCTACATTAGCTCTACCAGAACAACAAACAAAAGATTTTACCGTTTACGAAGGGATTTGGTAGGATCCTCAGAGTCAGTCCTATAGGTCTCTCCTAATGACCTTTTGCCTCTTGACGATGACTGTTGACTGAAACCATTACCCTGAGAAGCTGATGATCGCTTAACCACCTTCTACAAGTTTAACAATCCCAAAAAATATGCAATTTAGGAAAATTGAACCCTCAAAAGCAACAAAGTAAGTAACCTCCTAAACAGATTCACGGAATGTAAAAGAAAAGCGAAACTGAAATCCATTAAGAGAGATACAAAACAGCATAGAAAGCTTACTTGACCAGAGCGGCCCAAAGTGATGGTGACCTGAGGCCTTGCCATTTGAGATGGTCCAAACTTATGCACAGCTAAATCTGAAAGGATTACAGTGAAACAATCGATAGTCAATAAAAACGAAGGAACCCTAGAATCGGAGGTGAAAGAGAATGAGATACCTACCTGGTTATACTCCATATGTCTTGACTCCAGACTTAGCAAGGTCGCTATAAGAATTGTCCTTCCTCTTTTTCCCCATTTATTTTGTCTACTAGTCCATGACACGTCATCCGTATTCTTCACTTGCGCCGAGAGAAAACTTATCTTTTGGTTTAGATTCAAAGACATCCATATTTTTTTTTCACTTTCAGCACTAATAGTCCTTTATTTTACGTTTGTTTGTTCTTTCTCCCCTTATATGTGATTTCTACTAAATAAATTCTTAATCAGATTAGATTCAAACATGCATACAAAGAAGAGTATTCTTTATTCGTACAAATAAGATAAATGTGAACTGATCTATGATCGAACAGGCACCAATATCAACAATGAAATTGATAAAACATAGAAACTACTACAAGTTTGTTCAATATACCTAATTTTTATGTGTGCGTTCTTGCTCCAATCTAAAGTGTTTGGCTCGACCTTCTTGTGCTACAACACTTTTAATTTTTTTATTCACTATCTATGAACTTTGGAACTCAACTATTTATCATACTTGTACGAGATTCATGTTATTACTTTTCGAGCAACAATATAATATCTAGGAAGTGCAAGAAATAGTCGAAAAGACAGATGTGGGTTCTTGATTTAGCTGCAACGATGCTTGAATTGAACAAAATAAGAAACATTATTCTTCTCACATTTTTTTCATATGAGTTACTGTTTTTACTAAATAAAAAGGACGATGATTGAAAATTTCTTACGCTAAATTGTTGACAAAACCAATAATTAAAAAAGGCAAAGTTTGGAAGAGGACAAAAAATGCATCAATATTGCAAACATGAGAGACTATTAATACTCTATGAAGAACAAGGATGTTTTTCGGAATTTACATAAATCTCATAGTGTTAAGAGCTAATTACATTATTTTCCTACTCTTTTTCAATTATAAAAATTTCTTAAAATTTATGGATTTTGGTTACATTATTGGAATTCCTGATACATCACTGGACTTCCGAATACATCATTGGACATCCGGATACATAGGTGAGGGATGTATCCGCGAGGGGAGGGATGTATCAGAGAGGAAATAGGACCTCCGGATACATCAACAGACATCCCGATACATAGGCAAGCGATGTATCAGAGAAGGGAGTGATGTATCTGAGAAGGGATAGGGATGTATCAACAAGAGGAGTGTGATTTATTCGAGAAGGGATTTTTATTTTATTTTTAAATGGTAGGAAATTTTAGAGATTATGGTAAAATAAGATGTGTATTTAGATTATTTTTCCTTTTAAATCTCAGCCCAAAAATAAAGGGACTACTTTAAGCATTTTCTCTTAACAGTCATACTTGGCAATATTGTGCTAGTATTTACAATTTCAACTCCTACTCCCACTTATCTCTATGTTCTTTACTCCATTTTGATCCAAAAGCAGTTAGATTTTGGGTATAATTTCAGATAGAAATAATCCAGATGGTCCCTTATGACTATATTGGCCTTTTAACATTTATTCTTGATCACGGGCTCTCTTTCTTTTGTAATTTTTTTGAAAGTTAGTAATTCATAAGGTAGGGGTCAATGTCAAACCCTCATTAATACAGACAAGCATAGCACTCCTCTTTTGTAGCTTCTTTGATGATTAATTCATAAGGTAAGGGTCAATATCAAACTCTCGTTAATACAGACAAGCATAGCTCGTGGAATTGGCTCAAGTTTTTTTTTTCTTCCAAAAATTAGTCCTTAATGTTTGCTATAAATTGTTACTTCAAGACGATCTCTACTTCTCTCTAACTTCCTTATAAATGATAGTATATCCAAACCTCAACAAAATGAAAAAGTCATATTTACAACTGTGAAAAGTATTTTTAACTTTCAAATGCAAATATTTGATCCTCAGGGTGACAGTACTCCGGAAGTATCTTGACTAGATGAAACAACTTTCATCACTCTCATTCTCTCAAGTAAAATGTACAAGAAAGGTTTCCATTTTGTGAAGCTCATTTCGTTGATCCCGATTTTTCCTTTTAAATGGATCCTAAATTTTATCATGATTGTACCTTATTTTCCCTCTTACTTGGTGTCAACTTTTTACCTAATAATTGGTCTCTTTTTTCCCATCAGAAAGTCAAACAAACTTAAAAATGAATTACACAAAACTTCTCTCCCTACTCCCTAGCCTCGCATTTGGGATACATTTGCCGAGTGCAAACCGGTAAAATTGTAGCCCATGTTAGCGCCAATGTGTCAGCGCATATAAGAGCCAATGACACATTGACAGACGCTGTTGCATATAAAACGGCTTACATTGCGAAGGTGAGATGTCTCCATTTCATTATTAACACGTCAGGCGCCTGGGATTGAACTTCACAAAGCAGCTATTGGAAATTGATTCCCGTTTTATACAAAATCAGGATTTGCATTAGCTGAAGCTACCCAAAATCCCCTATTACTGACTCGTACAATCTAGATGCATCACACAACAGTTAGCATAATTGCACTCTGGTATTCACCCACCCAAGCTCATTTGACGAGATCAGAATCACAACAATGTAATGGATGGGGTTTCAGCAACATGCCACATCAGAACTTTGATTGTTGCTCTTCATCTACAACTCAAACATACATGTACAACAAAAACGTAATGTTCATAGCATGTATAAGATGTCCGAGCATCACATGTTGGCTGTTGTTTCCTTAATCTCCTCCATAGAAATTGTCTGTGAAATAAAAGGCAGAAGACTCGCCTTAGTAGCAGATATAAGTGCAAAACACACACTAGGCACTGACAGCACATAATAGTAATCCTTTGTTTTTTAACATACACTTAGGGAGTCAGATAGCCAAAAGAGGAAAAGGGCTATAGACCAAATACTCAAATCTAAGAAGGTAACTATAAATCAAGCTTCGCATATTTGCATTTAGTTTACCTGTTCTTCTCCAGCAAAATCATTATCAGGGGTCAGAAAAAGCATGCAGTGACACTCCTTCCTGTAATGCAAGATAAGAAAGATTCAGAAGTAAACTGATTAACACGGAGGCTTATGTTGGAGATTTTATAGATGATAAAATACTACTATCCATGATTACTTGGATTCAGAGAATGCAGACTAAAATGGTGATGACCAGATATACATGATGGCACACGTAATTGAGCTAGAAACATTAAATGGCTTCTCCGATCAAGGTTTCCTTTACTTGTCAAGCAGACAAGATTTTCTTTGCAGATTTAAACAGAAACCAGAATATATCAAACCCTTCTGTACAATTAAGATCTTAGCATGTTGAACAACCAAAGGATACAAGGGCAACTGACAAGTTATCTTTAAATTCATGCACCCATAACTGTAGTTGCTGACCACCGTCTCACATGCATTCCAAAAATTTATTATTCAGATATTCAAGGCCTGAAAGCTCGAAGTAAAACACTTAATGAAGCCTTATCTAACCAAAAAGTTAGAGGCAAACCCAAAAGAAAGTATCTCTGGCAGAAAGGAGGAAAAATGTCATTACAGAATACAGAGAATGTATATTGATTTCGATTTATTGGATCCCCTATTTCTGATGCTGTTTTCACTCTCAGCAAACAAAAAAACAAACCATGACATGACCAAAATACAACCAATTCTATGAACACAAGCAAAAACAACTTACCTCTCTCTCATTGGTACACATGGACAATTCCAGAAGCCCTGCTGCGCTTCTGCAGCTTTGTCATCATAATGCCTGAAAATTAAAATGACAACAATATGGTACAGTTCATGGTAATGATGAAATTACAAAGGTACTGTGGTAACTGGGAAGTAGCAAAGCATGAAAACCATCAAAACATATGTGTTGGGAACGAATATTTACCTGCAGGGGCAGAGTGGAGCGCCCAATGTATCCTTGTGCTCTGCCAAACCCTAAGCATGGGTCAATGAATACATTAATTAAATTCCGCCCTTGATGTAGGAATAGATGTTTCAATTATAAGGTGTAATGACCCTCCAGGTCATTAAAGAATTTATTTCATCGTTTAGAGCATTCCTGTAGCGACCCCAAGTCATTTATGACTTGCTGACACTGACTGTTCGGTCGCCTGGTCGTTCGTTTGAGTTTTGGGCCCGTTTTTCTGTTTTGGAGATTTTTATAACTTGAAAAGTTGACTTTGGTCAACCTTCTTGGAAGTCGTGCTCAGATGAAAATTCTGACAGCTAGGTTAGCTTCGGAAGATCGATTTTGGTCTAGAACGACCCTTTGTTCACTTCCCGAGGCTTTAGATGGCAGTTGTGGAATCTGGCTCGAACGATACTGGGTGCGGGACCCACTTTTCATCGAAGCGATATCCAAATGGAAATTCCGCCTTCACCGTTGAGTCCGAAATATCGTTTCCAATCAGATTCCATATAAGGTTTGTATTTTTCCGACTCCGAACGAGTCCGAAACATCGAAATTTAAGTTTGAAGGGTTGTAGAATTTTGACGCGGCGGTGACGTGGCAGAACCACGTGACGACACGTGGCATAAGAGTGATATCTGGAAATTTCCAGATTTTAAGAACGAAATTCGTCCCATTTTTTTTGTTCAACTTCAACTTGAGATTAATCCTTCATTTTGAGTCCAAATTAAGTGATTCAAAAGGCAAACTTCAAGAGAATTTCGAGGGGAATCTAGCGGTGATCTCGGAAACGCGAGGGGAGGCTTCGTTTGAGGTAAAAAATCAATTTTAGCCACTGCCAGTGTGATTTCCGGATGGTTTTGTTATTGAATTTTGAAATGTGAGATCTTGATCATCGTAAGTCCGTTTTAAGTCATTCTTGGGGCTAACTTGTAAAGTTTTTCGCAAGGATCGTCGTGGTATAATCTGTTTGGGTTGAAAGGGTCTCATTTTTCCGGAAATTGGTGATCAAGGGGCTGCCCATTTTAATTGTCGTGGCTGATTTGCGGTGTTTTAGGCATCTGTTTGTGCTAAA